TCCTTTTTCCTCAGCTTCTCCTTTCTGTACTGTAATGTAGTTCTGCCTCTACCCTTGCTAAACCCTTTCACAAGATGGGTTTTTCCCTCCTGGGTTCCCTGCTTCTCCTTCCCCTCAGCTTCTCCTTTCTGTTCTGTGACATAGCTCTGCCTTCACCCTTAGCTACCCTGTAGCAAGGTTGGTTTTTCCCTTCTGGGTTTCTACACCACCCCTCTGCTTCTCCTTTTCCCCTAGCTTCTCCTTTCTGTAGCTGATTTGTCTCGATGACTCTCTCTCACTTCTGCTTTCTTTTTCTCTGTTTGTTGACTTCATTTCTTTTTGCTGTCCTCTCCCTGCTTCTCCCCCACTCTGAGCTTCTCCTTTCTGGGATTGTGTGACCATCACTGACTCTGCCTGCATTTGTGGTCTAGTGAATTTGCCTTTGCTTTTCCCTTTTGTTATGCTTCTCTATTTTCAGCTTTTCCCACATTTCAGCTCTCTCTCTCACCTCTTCACCCCCTCCCAGCTCTGCTGATCCTGTTGCTTTTTTGCCGATGTAGTTTCTGGTTTTCCCCTTGCTTCACTTTCTGCTGATGGTGATTTTCTTTTTGCTGCTGATTCTGCCATAGTGTTTCTCCTTGTTGTCTACATTTTTCTATATATTTTCTTTCTTTCTTTCTTTTCTTTTTTTTTTTTTTTTTTTTTTTTGGTTTTTCAAGACAGGGTTTTTCTGTGTAGTTTTGGTGGCTGTCCTGAAACTCACTCTGTAGCCCAGGCTGGCCTCGAACTCAGAGATCTGCCTGCCTCTGCCTCCCGAGTGCTGGGATTAACGGCGTGCGCCGCCGCCGCCACCACCACCCGGCTTTTTTTTTTTTTTAAATGTATATATTTTCTGTATTTCTTCATTTTTCTATGGCTCTTTGTAGCATCACTTTTACCTGCCCATTTTAATGGCTGTTCCTGCTTTTTATACCTACCTGTAAATTGAAACCTGAAAGAACATAAACAGTTAATCTAGCTTCTCAGGTTATCAACTCTAAGTACACGCCTTCCAATATTAAAGTTTGAGGTAGCTGATTAACATGCAATAGCTATTTCTTCCTTGGTGCTCACCTCTAGAGCAAGTACTATGGCTTAGGAACTGAAGGGTTTTGTTTTGTTTTTTAAGTGGTAGGTGATGGGTGTGGTGCTTTAGGGCCATAGTGGGTGGAGATATTCCATAGCTCCTCTAAGGTGCTGAGTGGGCAAGCCTTGTCTTTCCCACTTTAAGTGTATTGAATACCATACCAAGAGCAATGAGACAATAATGGCGAGTAGGTCACTCTTTTAAAAAACTGGATAAAGAGACATGGAAGTGTAAAAGATAGTAAAGATATGAGCATGTCTAACCAAAACAAAAGAAGATTGGAGACAATGAGCGAGAACGGGGGAACAAGGTTTATACCAAAAGGAGCTGGATTCAGAGTGTAGCAGTGAAGGGTTGATTGTAACTAAATATGTGGTATTAGAGCCTTTGGCTCTGAAGGAAAATAAACAGTTAATGATTTCCATTCTAGTGCAGCTACACAGGTGTTTTGCTATTTCTTTCCTTTTCTGTTGTAGGTCCTGAAGCTGTGCCTCCCTCTCTTCTCAAAGTAGTGATGAAACCCATAGCAACTGTTGGCGAGAGCTACCAGTATCCTCCTGCAAACCTGGCTGCGCTCCTCTCTCCACTTATGAGGCTAAACTTTGGTAACTATCGAGTGCTTTTATCAGGCTTTGCTCTTAGGATTTGGCCTGACTAAAAAAAGCAGATTTTGTGTCACCGTTGACAGTGACTGGTAGATTTATTTTATCTTGCAGCTTGTTATCTTACATACAATAACTGAGTTACTTTCACTGAGCCATTATAGGTGACGGCGGGAAGGAAGAGATCTAAAGACATAGACCTATACAGTCCTCAGACACAACTCTCAAGGAACTGGAGAGATGGCCTAGTCAGTACAGTGTTTACTGTGCAAGCATGATAACCCAAGTTAGACCCCTCACACCTATGCAAAAAAACCAACCAACCAAACAACCAGCCTACAAAGAAAGAAAGAGAAAGAGAGAGAGAGAGAGAGAGAGAGAGAGAGAAAGAAAGAAAGAAAGAAAGAAAGAAAGAAAGAAAGAAAGAAAGAAAGAAAGAAAGAAAGAAAGAAAGAGAGAGGTAGGTAGGTATGTAGGTAGGTGGATAGATAAATAAATAAAGCAAGCAAGCTGAGTATAGTAATGAATGCCTATAATTTCACTGCTTGGAAGGCAGAGACAGGACGATTACTGGGGACTTGCTGACCAGCTAGCCTAACCAAATCAGGGAGCTGTGGATTTAGGAAGAGGCCCTGTCTTAAAAAAATAATAAAAAAATAAGGTGGAGAAGGATTGAGGAAAATACATGATGCTAATCTCTGGCCTCCATATGCACACCCATATACACATGTGTACACACACACACACACACACACACACACACACACACACACACACACACACATACACACACACCAAACAAAAAAACAAGAGTAAACAAACAAGCCAAATAGCTCTTTTATGAGTTGTATGTATTTCTGGTATATGAGGCAGACTTAGTTTAACAGTTATCAAACTGCACTTACAGAGCCCTAGGTTTCAAGGAAGCACCATGTCAGATGCTTTATTAGGTTTCTATTGTTGGTGAAGCAAACTTATCAAAATTTATTATCTTACAGTTATTTCTGTAGGCCAGAAATTGAACACGAAAGCCAAGGCAGGTACCTGAAGGCAGGAACTGAAACAGAAAGCCATAGAAAATGCTGCTTATGGGCTTACTTTCTTATACAACCCAAGACCACTTGCCCAGGAGTGGCACTGTGCACGGTAGGATGAGTCTTCCTATACCAGTCATCAGTCAAGAAAATGTCCCACTGACATGACCACAGAACATGCTCACATTCCTCACCTGATGTTCCTTCTTGTTGGGTGACTGTAGTTTGTATTGATTGAGCAGACAAAAACAAAACAACAAAACAAACAAAAAAAACAAACAAAACTATTGATCTGTTGCCCACTTGACACAAATATGTACCACTATCAAACCATCATCTTTCCTTTCTTGTTTATCCCTAAGATTTCGTGTTACTATCATAATATAAAACATAATGTTGTTTGAATCTTAGATGGTCTTTTAATTAAAAAAACAAAACAAAACCCAGAGCCAGATATCAGGGTGAAAGCTGAAAAATCAGAGAAGCAGAGCAGCCAGCCTCTAGTTCTTACCTCTATGAAATCCTCAGCCTAAAGAGAGTGAGTTCCTGTTTCCTCATTCCTTATATACCTTTCTCTGCCCTGCCATATTGCTTCCTGGAATTAAAAGTGTGTGTCGCCACTGCCTGACCTCTATGTCTAATCTAGTGGCTGGCTCTGTCCTCTGATCCTCATGCATGTTTATTAGGGTACACAATATATCACCACAACATAGTATAAGTCTTTATAACCCGTATAAGTCTTATAGTCTTTAAAAAGATTCAAACAGTTTAAAAGTTCAAAGTCTTTAAGAAATATTCAAAGTCTCTTAACTGTGCATTCCTGTTATACTAAAAACAAAGTAAATATTTTCTTACTCCTAAAGTGATGAACCAGGGTGTAAAAGCAATCACACTTAAACAGAGCCAGAGTCCATCCGTGTACCTACAAATCTGTTAGCTCAGTGTGTGACATCTGGAATTCACTCATATCTTATGTACTCCAGAAAGTTTGGGCAGTCTTATTTATTTATCTGTATCTGTATCTATATACATATACATATAATATATACATATACATACATATATATATACATATAATATACACATATATATATATATATATATATATATATATATATATATATATATCAATCACTGAAGAAACTCAAGGCAGAAACCTGGAGTCAGGAAGAACAAAAATCCAAAAATCGAGACCTGGAGGAATACTGCTTCCTGGCCTTTTTCCCCATGGCTCACTCGGTCTGCATTCTGATGCCACCCAGGGTAATCTTCCCAAGGATGACACTGTCCAGTTAGCTGGGCCCACCCACATAAATCATCAATCAAGAAAATGCCCCACAGACTTGCCTACAGGCCAACTTGTAAGAGACAGTTTCTCAGCTGAGGGTTCCTCTTGTCATGTAACCCTGGTTTGTGTCAGGTTGGCAAAGAATTAACTGGCACACCAGACAGCAATTCCCTATGTGCTGAACACATACTGGAGAAGAGGTAGGGAGAGGCACTGGGAGATTTGTGGCTAGCATTTTCTCCTATTTTTAAATAGTATTTGAGTGTCCAGATTTCTCTAGATGTTATCAGAGAAATTTCCTCAGGCAGTTTAAAGCCCGTGGCAGTCCCAAGAGTTAGAACTGACTCCACTGGACACATTCTTTGCCTCTTTGAGCAAAAACTCTCGAACCACTTGGTTGAACGAATTCTGTTATGTGCGAAAGTGACCCAAGTAGATGGCTTGATTCAGGCATTGAATCCTGACTTTGAGTCAGGGGGCTGAGCACTGTATTCCAGAAAGTATTTTTTCTTTCTTGTCTTCCAGGTGAGGAGATCCAGCAGCTGTGCCTTGAGATTGCTGTGACTCAGGCGTCGTCCTCGCAGAGCGCGGCCGCACTGCTGGGCTTGTGGGTGATGCCGCCACTGCTCCATGGTCTGAGTGTAGGTTGTCCTTCCAGATGTTAAGTGTAGTTGGTCGGGTGGCTCTTCTCGGGGATGGCCGCACTCACCTGGAGTGTGGTCACTGAGTCAGGAGTAGAAAAACAAAAGCTTACCAATACTTGATCTGGCCAGCAGCCTAGAAGATGATATGGCTCTAATCCTACCCTTACTTTTTTTTCATTATTTTAAATTTTTTTTAACTGCCACTATTACTAAAGTGGAGAAATGATGGTCATAGATACTAACATTACTTTTGGAACAGTTTGCTTGATAATATAGTATGGCTATTAAGAGAAAGACAAATCCATTTGTGCTGAACACCTCTTGTATGTATCCCTTCCTCCCTTTCTTGGAGTAGGGTACAATTAAGGTGAATCTTGAAAGCCTGGTAGGATCTGGGTCAGCATTCAAAGAGAGACACTGGGGAGGGAGTTAGAGAAATGTACATCTCTGCTTGAGTATTCAGCATGAGCAAACTAATGAAGTAGAAGGGACCCTTTCATTTTGTGTTTGTAAGCATGTTCCAGACATTGGCCAAAGGTGCATAAAAATAGAGTGTTTAGAGACATATAGTAAGGAAGAATTTTGAGTCTATCTGCTGCAGAATAAAAGAGATATTCCATAATTTCCTAAAGCTCTAACTTGATTGTCAGTACATGATCATCATGTTGAGTTCTATCTGTGATCTGGCTTTAGTTTTCTCAAGTAGTACAAGGTTCTCTTACAGCCTCAGTGTCTTGGCTTTAGTTCTGAGTGCATTGTTTTTGTGTGTAGTCTTTCTTACTCCCCGTGAGGGTCTTCAGGTGAAGATGTGTGTTATTGAAGTTTGCACTTTTTTCTCTATCACCGTTACTCCCATTGTACTCCAGTGGTTTCCATCTAGCTGTCACTTGCTGTGTGCCTGGTTCTTGCTAGCACTCAATCCACGTTATAGACATCAGTTTTAATGTCTAATGTCTCTGGCAGCTCATTTTAAAAGTTAGCATTATTGAGGTATAATTTATATATCCTAAAAGTGGCTAGTTTAGTGGTAAACTTTGGTGAGTTTTAGTACATCTCCATGAATATTCACATCACTCAACATAATTAAAAATTGGGGCCATTTTTAGTAAGTCTGTAATCTGAGACTTAAGCTACCAATAATGTACTATCTATAATTTTGCCTGTGTGTAATAGTGTATATTATATATATATAACATATATAATATATATATACGTACATACATATTTATGTGTGTACAGGTGCACGGGATATGTAGAGTATGTGGGGGTGGAGGTCAAAAGTCAATGTTGCCCATCTTCTTTAATTGCATTCCTCTTATTTTTGAGACCAGGTCTGTCACTGAACCTGGAGCTCTCTAATTTGGCTAAACTGACCAGCAAGCCTCAGGATCCTATTCTCTGTTTCCCCAGCACTGGGATTACAGGAAAACTACCATGCTTTTTCCATGGGTGTTCGAGATTGAACGTGCGTACACAACAAGCACTTTACCAACTGAGGCCTCTCCTCAGACCCTAGTTTTGTCCTTTGTAGGAGACCAGCTCCGACCTTTCAAAGGGTTCTTGGGGGCAGGGGTGAGGAATGAAGAAGTATTAGATAGAAATATAGTTCTAGATGGAGAGAAAGACAGAGACACGGGACAGCTTTGGGAGGGCCCTGAGTCAATACTCAGTTGCCTCGACTTTATTCATGATGGGATTTTTATACACCAGCAAGGGGAGGGGCAAAAGACCTCCCCCTTTCAAGGTTGAGGTGTAAAGTACCAACAAGTGTAGACCCTTCAAAACACCTGGTAACCACACCCTTGGCCAAATCATCCCGTTATGTAGTGCTGCTGGGTAAAGCAAGCTCAGACTTTCTGACCTTGAGTAGCCTTACTAGGGAGCCTCTGTGGGCCGCCACAGTCCTTCTTTTCCTCTTCCATTATTTCATTAGTTCTTTGAGAACTTTGTACTATGTGCTGTGATCTCATTAAACCCCTCCCCAACTCTTTCATATCTACCTCCTTCACTACTGACCTAGCTTTATGGCCCTTTTCATTTTTCTTTTTAGTCCATCAAGAGAAATTTATGCTGCCCAGATACTCTTGGGTGTATGACTCTCCACTGGAGTAGAGTATCCCTACCAGGAGTCACATTCATAAAGAAAGCTGACTCTTTCCAGAAGCTGTCAGTTACCAATGGCTCCTAAGCTAGGGATGGGGCTTTCTTCCCATCTCTCCTCTCCTCTCCTCTCCATGCTGGGATTTGGTCTTACCTGAACTTATGCAGGCAGGTCTTGTGAATGCTGTCACAATTCCTGTGAGTTGATATATGCAGCTACCCTGTACATTTAAACTTCACATAAATTTTAGGAATTCTTTAGCACAGAATCCTATTATGAAGCTTTGGTCCCAGGAAGTTTGTTTTGTTATTTCTACTTTATAGACTGATATACTGATACATGTGTTTTGAGCAAAGTTTGCATAAGGTGATACATGGGAAGCTAGTATATGACTGACTCCAAAGCTCTGTGCCATGAACTCTTTCTTCCCATTTAATCGAGTGTCTAACAGCCTATTCTGTTGACCTTAGAATTTTCTTTACATTCCTGTAGGTCTGCCGTTTCTGATTTAGAGCTATTCAGCTCTTGGCATCTGTTTTGGTTGTGGATGTATGTTGTTAATCATTGTTAAAATGATCTGAGCTGGAATAGTCTTGAAGATGTGCTCTATAGAAAACCCATGCCACCTTAATGGACCTGTTGGAAAGATTTTACTTTTTTTCCCTAGCCGACTTCTTCTAGACTTGTTCATTAGTATCAAACTTGTGTATCTAAGAATGTTTAAATGCATGTGACAGCTAATAGTACTGCCTCATCTTGCCTTTCATGTACGCTGAGATGCCCTGGTCAGGCCCACATGCTCAGTGGGTGGCTCTTCGATCAGAAGTGGCCCAGCACGCCAGTTCCGCTTATTGCTTCCCTGTTGTTCCTCAGAAGAATATAATAATATCAGATGCTTTGTTCTATTGATTTTTCAGAAGATGAGCTTCCCACCTTTGGCCTCCACACATACATCCACACACTTGCATGTGTACCCGCACACATGCATACATACAGTGCACGCAAACCACAGAAACAACCAAAGAACCTGAAGCGCAGCTATGACATACTTTCAGAAGTAGCATTTTATTCCTGTCTCTGAAAAGATCTAAGGTTTAAGTTAAGCAGAATAGTTGAGCGGATTGACAGCTTCTCTTGCTGGAGAATTCAGTTTTAAAACTGAATCGGAGGAGCTGGGGAAATGGATCAGTCGGTAAAATGTTTGCAGTGTAAGCATAAGGACCTAAGTTTGGATCTCCAGCTCTCCAGCATCCATATAAAGGGTGGGTGTGTTGTGTGTGTGAAACAGTAGTGCTGGGGAAATGGAGACAGGGATCCATGAAGCTCATTGGCCGGCCAGCCTATTCAACTCTGTGTTTGGTGAGAAACCCTGTCTCAAACAATAAGATGGAGGTGATTGAAGAAGACACCTTCAGTTGACTACTAGCTTCCTTGAACTCTCCAGCACACACCTGCACACATGGACACCAGCACCCCTGTATGTGTGCAGACACATATACAAACACCACATACAGAAACGCCAAAACAAATAGAAAAGATTAGAATAGCAACTGTCACGTACGTTCAGAAGTAGCATTTTGTTCCCATCTCAGAAAGGGTTTAAGCTATTTGACGATTCAGTTGAGTGGACTGACAGAACCTACATGTACACGTGAGTCACCCTGGATCAGAAGTAACTGAAACAGCTACAAACGTAAGAGTAGGTGACCCTTTGGACTGGGAAGCCATGGGAAAAATAAGGGAGAAGAAGTAACCCACAGTTTTCAATCTGTCTTCTCTCCAACTCAGTGATGACCTAGAGCCTCGGAGCACCACAAACTCAGACTGACTTGTTTATGTCTGGCCTCTTCCGTTTCTCTTCCAGCTGAGTATCAAGAAATACCTCCTGGTGTCTATGCCTCTGTGGGTAAAGCACGTCTCCGATGAACAGATCCAAGGTTTTGTTGAGAACCTAATGGTGGCAGTTTTTAAAGCAGCTTCCCCACCTAGCCATCCCGAGTTGTGCCCAAGTGCCTTGCAGGGTCTGAGCCAGGCCATGAAACTGCCCAGCCCTTCCCACCACCTCTGGAGTCTGCTCTGTGATGCTACGGGGAGAATTTTTGACCTTCTGCCAAATAGGATTCGGGTAAAGCACAAAAATATTTACATTCCTGACATTTTATGCTGGGGCTTCCTTAAAGTCATTCTGGCAAAGCAGGCTGGGAATGTTGGAGGAATATGGGTGGGAAGACGAGCAAGAAACAACCACATTCTTCACTAGGAGTGTGTGTTTCCAGGATCTAAACGGAGGTTGAGAAGTCGGACCAAAGTTTTGAGCAAGCTTAGAGATGAGTTAACCAGTGCTGTACCAGCTGCCTGCCAGAGACGAGTGAGCCCAGAAATCCTACACAGTGCACCTTGACGACACTGTCTTATTTATCATATCTGTCCTAAGTTATCACTTTATTATCACTTATTCATCACTATCTTACTTATCACTTTCTACCCTATGGCCTCATACGGCCCTTCCCCTCCCACTACGAACCTCTACACTGAAGTTTCACAAGGTTCACATCTGCATAGAATAATGGACTTCTGATAGGGAGGGAAAAGTACAGCCAAGCAAACACACAGAACAATGGAGAAGACATTTTTCCATTGTGAAAAGACTGACCGTGTGTTTTGGTCTGGTAGCATTAGAATCTCATCAGCAACTGTTACTGGGGATAAACAAGTCTAATAAATTCATCAGAATATTAATAGACTTGATATTATTGTCTCACATTGTATTTTGACATGTTTGAGATTTGTCTTTGTCAGAGAAGTGATCTCGAGCTGTACATCAGTGTAGCCAAGTGCCTCTCGGAGATGACGGATGAAGGTGCCAACCAGCTTTCCCAGATTACCCAGGTAACAATGTGTCCATCTATGCATATTTTCACTATTGAGGCAGAGATTCCACTTGAAGAGTTGTTTACAATATCTTTTTGGCTGAATGTGGTTTTACATCAAACTTGTTACTGGATAACTTTAGGGAGCTGACTTTTTCCTTCACTTGGCAGATCTGGTAGCCAGCCTGGTGTTGTGATCGGTGTTTAATGCATACTATCTAGATGGATAGATGGATAAATAACTTGTTAACACAATTTCTTACACTTTGTCAAGTATATTTTAGTTATCCATTGGCAGAAATAAGAATAGGACAATGTCTTCAAGGTAATACCCACAAAATGAGAATATTCTAATATTTTGACCAAAGAACTTGCTGGTATGTTGAAAGCATAAACAAATAGTTCTTTTCTCACCACTTCTTCATTTCATTTTATTTTATTTATTTTTTTAGTACCTGCTACTGGCCTTCTGTAATGCAGAAGGTGGTCATTTGAAAAATAAGTACTGTTAGTCCTGACAAAATTGACAAGTAGCCTCCAGACCCAGTCACATAATGAAGTAAATACAGAATGCTTTGTGAAGTTGGAGTTCCAAGTAATCATCAAATACTTTGGCATAAATACAATCCAATTGGTGTACTCATTTGAACAGAACCTTTCATACCATGTAGTACCATAAGCCCCTCATCCCCAGTTGCTGGCAATTTTTATCATGTCCTTGTCAGGTTTGCTTATTCCGTTGGGTCCTTGAATATTTGCGTCACATAGCAGTGGTTTTCAACCTGGGGTCTCTGGGCCTGGTGCTGATTAGAAATGGGAATTCTCAAGTCCCACTTGAGACCATGGGACCAAGCAGTCTATATTTGGATAGTCTCTCCAACCAGGCAATTTTGGCACATTCTAGGGTTGAGAACCACTATTACAGAGTGTTTGGCTCCAGCACTTTGGAGATTAGCTTATTTTAAACAGAGAGAAGCAGTTCAGGGAAGTGGTAAGAGTGAGTCTAGATTTTTACTGCTGTTGAGTGAGATCCAGATTTGCAGCTTGTGAACAGTGTGATCTTGGTCAAGTTTTATAACCTCTTGGTTTCCCTGTCTGTAAAATGGGTATAATAGCACCTGCCTCTTAGGGTTGTCTGGAGAGTTAGATGACCTAGTCCATAATAAGTACTTGGAACAGTACCAGCTCAAAGCAAGAACTCAGTAATTACTTAGCACCACATTCTTCCTTGATTTTGCACCAAAAGTCAAAAACTGGTAGTATCTTCAAAATAATTTGCAGTTCTCCAGAACCATGCCAAGGAAGTTTGCCTACTCTGACGTTAAAATCCATTGGTTTGTTTTGAATGTCAGCTCTTTGATAGATATGATTTCCTAATACCATACACTGGTCATTTGGAAAATGCTGGCTTGTCAAGTTTTGAAGGCCTTCCAAATGTTGGCATATTTTATTATATAATATTAAACCATCGTATTTGTTGTGATCCTCAGAAGTCTTATTCGAAAAGCAGTCTACACACTGGGGGGGTTGTCAAGCTCAAAAAAGTAGACAAATTTTTTTCTGAAAATCTAATTTTTATTAGATGATATAAATTTAATTATTGGCAACAAATATTATGAAGTGTTTGTCTTGGTGTGATGGGCTCATTTCTTTAAGTTTTTGATAAAAAAGTCTGTATAACAGGCAGTTAAAATAGCCATAGTTGTCATCATTCTTTTAAGGAAGTAGTGTCCCATATGTAGAACAATCTTAGTTCTCAACTCCACCTTATCAGTGGTTTTCCTTGACACAACTATGAAGCTTGGATACACAGCTGAATCCTTATACATATTTCCCTGGCTTGTTTTTATTGTTTATATTAAGTATAACTGCATCTCAATTTATTTGTTTGTTTTATGTGTAAAGGTGTTTTATCTGCATGTATATCTGTATATTATGTGCATGCCTGGTGCCCATGGAGGTCAGAAGACAGTGTCAGATCCCCTAGGGCTGGAGTTATAGATGGTTATAAACCACCATATACGTGTTAGGAATTGCACTGTTGTCCTGGAAGAGTAGCAAATGCTTTTAACCACTGAGCCATCTCTCTTGTCCCTTATAAATGGATTTTAAAAAAATTAAGTGGCATTAAAAATGCAGTGGATACTAAAATAGTTTGTTGGACTTAGAAAATAGTCTTGACCTCACAGAACCTTTCAAAGGGTATTGGGATCCCCAGGATTCTGGGTCAGATTTTGAAAACTCCTGCACTAAATATATATTAAGTGTTTAGACTGGTATTTGGAACAAGGTGAGCATAGCATGTGTTATGTTATTACTATGTGTGCTTACTTGCCAACCTCCGAACATATTCATAGTTTTCATGAAAAACAAATGTGGCGTTGCGGACTTCTGTTGCATGTACAGGCAGCTACAGGAAGTGGATAGCTTTAGTGCTTGGGGAAATCGCATCAAACTTCCTGTTCCTGATTGCCTTTGCCTTGCAGTTCTGTTGATCACTAATGACTGGACAATCCCCCCCACACACAGGACAACCTAGAAAAGGCTGCCTTTGTCCGACTGTACTTAGTCTCTCAAGGACGACTCCCCTTGATGAGCCTCACTGATCTGATCACTGCCGCTCTGCAGCACCAGGAGAAAGAGGCTCTGGCCTGGATGATTCTGCACAGCTTATACCAGGCACGCATTGTGAGCCATGCCAACACAGGTGAGGACACAAACAGTGGCCTGCTGTCTCTCTCCAATTGCACATGTCTCCTCAACTTAAAAGCTAACTTGTGTGCCCGGGGTTCATGATGTGAAATTCCAAGATAATCAATAATAATATTATGGATCAAAAAAAAAAAAAAAAACAAACACTAGTTTGTTTGCTGATGTGGGTCTGGTCTTACCCCAGATGAATGAATAGTGCCTTCAATGGATGGTAAGCTGTAGCTCACACCATCTATTTCTTGGATATAGGAATGAGTTCTTTGGAGGATTTTTATATTATTTTTGTTCCTCTAGACTAAGTCCTCAACCTGTGGGTTGCAACCCCTTTAAGGGGGTCGAATGCCCCTTTCACAGGGGCCCCATATCAGATATCCTGCATATCAGATGTTTATATTACAATTCATAACCATATCAAAATGACAGTCATGAAGTAACAGTGAAAATAATTTTATAGCTGGAGGTCACCACAACATGAGGAACTGTATTCCAGGGTTACAGCATTAGGAAGGTGGAGAATCACTGCTCTAGACGCTCATGGATACACACACTAAGTTAGAACCACTGCTCTAGATCCTCATGGATACAAACACTGAGTTAGAACCACTGCTCTAGACCCTCATGGATATAAACACTGTTAGAACCACTGCTCTAGACCCTCATGGATACAAACACTGAGTTAGAACCACTGCTCTAGACCTTCATGGATACAGACACTGAGTAGAACCACTGCTCTAGACCCTCATGGATACAGACACTAACTTAGAACCACTGCTCTAGACTCTCATGGGTACAAGAACCACTGCTCTAGACCCTCATGGATACAAACACTGAGTTAGAACCACTGTTCTAGACCCTCATGGATACAAACACTGAGTTAGAACCA